TAACTTTTTAAAAATATTGGTTTTATTTGGTTGCTTTTAAGGACAAGTGGGTTACCACTAACCCAGATTTCGGGGGTTTCCAGAAATCTTGACCTACACCAAAAGTGGACATTGCCCTACCTAAAGGAGAAGTTTGGTGTCATTGGTGTGTATATTTGTTTGGTTATAGAGAAAACTCTCCTTGTCTTTTAAAGAAACTGAAAAAGGGGCAAAAACTTTATCTTTGATTGTCTTTAAAAAAGCCTTTTTGGGATAGCCCCCTTGTGCTTAAAGGCGACCATCTATTTTACATTAGAATTCAAGTCTATGGGCGGCCATGACAGTGTCTGATCTAGGAGAGTACATTAAGTCTATGGGCGGCCATGACAGTGTCTGATCTAGGAGAGTACATTAAGTCTATGGGCGGCCATGACAGTGTCTGATCTAGGAGAGTACATCGAGTCTATGGGACAAGACAAAACTGAACTCACGAGAAGTCAGGCGCTGTGGCGGTCTCGTATGGGTGAGCTGAGTATGTCTCTAGCCAAACTGTTGCTGTTGGTGTTGCTGCTGCTGCTGTTGTTGTTGCTGCTGCTGCTGTCGAGTCAACGTAAAAGGACGGCAAGATACCCGCTGTGTCCGTGGCGGTGACGTAGACAGCCGATGTAGGGGTGACGGCTGTTCCGTCAATGGACACTGCTTGTGTAGGCGTGACCTCTGTTCCATCAATGAGTACTGCCGATGTAGAGACGACGGCTGTTCCATCAGTGGGTACTGCCGATGTAGGGGTGACGGCTGTTCCATCAGTGGGTACTGCCGATGTAGGGGTGACGGCTGTTCCACCAATGAATACAGCCGACGTAGGGGTGACGGCTGTTCCATCAATGAATACAGCCGATGTAGGGGTGACGGCTGTTCCATCAGTGGGTACTGCCGATGTAGGGGTGACGGCTGTTCCATCAGTGGGTACTGCTGTTGCAACAGCTGCTGTTCCTTCAACCGCTGTCGATGTGGCCGTAGGGGCGATGGCTGTTGCGTCCACTGCTGCTGTTGTTGCTGTTATAGCTGTTATTGCTGTTGCTGTACCGAAAGTGGCTGTTCCATCGATTGCTGTTTGTGTTGCAGTGCCAAGTCTAGGTGCTTGTGTTGGGGTACCTAGAGAAACTGTTGGTGTTGGGGTACCTAGAGAAGCTGTTGGTGTTGGGGTACCTAGAGAAGCTGTTGGTGTTGGGGTACCTAGAGAAGCTGTTGGTGTTGGGGTACCT